ATTTCTTGCCATTTTTAATGGGGTTGAGACCATCAGCTGTGTTGTACAGAAGTCAGGTTGGTACACAGCTGACAGCCCTATTTGACAACTGTTATACTGTCATATTATGGCAAGAACAAATCAGCTAGGTAAGAGAAACGACAGTCCATTGTTATTTTAAAAACTGAAGGTCAGTCAATCCAGAAAATTGCTAAAACTTTGAATGTGTCACCAAGTGCAGTCACAAAAACCATCAAGTGCTACGATGAAACTGGCTCACATGAGGACCGCCCCAGGAAAGGTAGACCAAGACCTCTGCTGCTGAGGATAAATTCATCCGAGTCACCAGCTTCAGAAATCCCAAGTTAACAGCACCTCAGATTAGAGCCCAGGTAAATGCCACACAGAGTTCCAGTAGCAGACACACCTCAACATCAATTGCTTAGAGGAGACTGTGTGAATCAGGCCTTTATGGTCAAATAACTACTGAGAAACCACGACTAAGGAAAAGCAACAGGCAGGAAAGATTTATTTGGGCCAAGAAACACAAGGAATGGACACTAGACCAGTGGAAATCTGTGCTTTGGTCTGATGAGTCCAAATTTGAGAGCTTTTGTTCCACCCGCTGTGTCTTTGTGTGACACAGAAAAGGTGAATGGATGGTCTCTACATGCATAGCTCCCGCCTCCAAGCATGGAGGAGGAGGTGTGCTGGTGACACTGTCGAGGATTTATTCAAAATTGAAGGCACACTGAAACAGCATGGCTACCACAGCATCCTGCAGCGACATGCTGTCCCATCCAGTTTGCTTTTAGTTGGACCATGATTTATTTTTCAACAGGACAATGACCCCAAACACACCTTCAGGCTGTGTAAGGGCTACTTGACTGAGAAGGAGAGTGATGGAGTCCTGTCTCCACAGTCATGAGATGGTTTGGGATGAGATGGACCGCAGAGTGAAGGCAAAAGGGGCCAACAAGTGGCTCAGCATCTCAAGCTCAAGCCCAGCATCTCTGGGAACTCCATTTCAGGTGACGACCTCATGAAGCCCATTGAGAGAATCCCAAGAGTGTGCAAAGCAGTAATCAAAGCAAAGGGTGGCTATTTTGGAGAAAATGTAAAACACATTTTGAGTTATTTCACACTTTTTTGTTTATTACATATTTCCCAGATTTTGTAGCTGCTGCTTTACCTAACGAAGTAGAGATGGCTTACCGTGACAAGAAAATGTAGCTCAGGCAAGACTGGATGAGCACCATATTAGATGATCACTGGAACAGCAGCACACAGAACTGTAAACAGATCTTTAAATCCGAAAGTAACAAGTTTCAGGAACGCTTTAACCACACTGGAGGTACGTCAGAAAAAATGTTTTTCCTGGCTTGATGTCAAACAGTTGTAGCTATACAGGTTTTTACAGAAGCACAAAGTGACAATCTGCTCACAGATTAAAGAATACTTTCTCTGTTTTAATCTCTAATGGATGAGTGCTCTGGGATATCATTGTACTTTACTCCTTTACTCTACTGGTCTCTCGGTTGTCCGTGTAGTTCAGCAGATGGCTGGTTGTGAATGGGATGATGACCGGGGACATTATTGGTTATCAACAGTTATGATGGAGAAGACTTTATATCTTTGGACCTGAAGACTCTAACATGGATTACTCCAGTGCCACAGACTGTTGTCACAAACCCACATAGCAAACAGGTCTGGCCCGGATCTGGTGTCAAGCCGGCACTGCTGGCTGACTTCTGGCATGGTAAGTGGTATGTCAACCAGATGTGGGCCAGACCTGGCGTAGATGGCACTGTCTATGTGATTGCATGCCACATCTGGACAGATTGTGGTTTGGTCTATGTGGTCCAGACCCATAGAAAACAGGTCTGGCCCGGATCCGGCATCAAGCTGGCACTTCTGACTGACTGGTGTCACGGCAGGGTGTATGTCAACCAGATGTGGGCCAGGTCTGGCAATGATGGCAATATTTATGTTCCTATTTTCCTATTTTAGTTAAAAGACCCAAATGCCAAGTTGCAATACTATACTGCTGTGGTAGCCAACATTTCAAATGCAGATTTGACAGGTTTGTGAGTGTACACTTTATACAAAACCTAGTTTTCTCTGAAAAGAGATTCATCATGTTGCTTTTGCACTATTATGTTCTGTCATATGTTGTTATTACATGGCTTGATTAACTTTGTGGTGTTTATGGACATCTTATCACAAGACACGGAGAAGCTGCATTCAGCTTTTATGCTCCTTATATCTGGAACAAACTCCCAGAAAGCCTCAGATCAGCTGAAACACTCAGTTTATTTAAATCCAGGTTGAAGACTCACCTATTCTCAGCTGCATTTGAATAAAGCACCAAATCCACACTTTTAAGCTTAAATTTCAAAACTTACATTAACTACTGATCTTATCTATTTCTGATTTTATCTGTTTTGATTTTATATACTGTTTTGTTTGCTTGTTAATTAGTTAAGCTTAAATTTCAAAACTTACATTAACTACTGATTTTATCTACTGTTCTGATTTTATCTGTTTTGATTTTATATACTGTTTTGTTTGTTTGTTTGTTTGTTTGTTAAGTGGGTTAGAGCTCTGGGTAGCTCCCCAGCTGGGTCTAGACTGGGTCTAGAGAGTATTTTAAATTCAGGGAATTTAAAATAGAAAGTAGCTCGTCCACAGAAGGACTGGTAGCTCCCCTTACGATAAGGGTTCAGATCGCGCGAACAGGTGTGAAATGTGTGTATTTAGTTAGTTAGTTTGTTTGCTTGTTTTAATCAATTTTAAATCATACTTTTTATTTGTTTTTGTTTCTAATGTCTCTGTAAAGCACTTTGAATCACCTTGTTGTTGAATTGTGCTATACAAATAAATTTGCCTTGCCTTGCCTTGCCTTGCCACTCACACATCACAAACACTATATTCTAATATCTGTTTACTTCCCACCGTCATCTTTGAAGAAAGAAACTGTAAATGGCTAAAGAGTCAGCATTCACCTGTAATGAGTCATTCACATGTGAACAATGACTCAGTGGTGATGTTTCCATTGGCTGCCTCTAACTTTATTCCAGCTTTGCTACATTTTTAAAACAGCATCCATTTGTTTTCTATTGAACAACGACATCTACAGATTTTTTAGAAATTTACTTCAAACATGTAATTTTCACTTTTGGAGTCACTGTTTTCTGATGTTTAGGTACACTGAAATTTTAAACTTGCTGTGTGGATTTCTTATACTTCTTTTTTTACTGACTTCCTGATTGTATTTTTAAATCTCATCTTGTTCTAATATGATACATAATCAACTGGTGAAAACAGATTTCATGAACAGAAACACATACACACTAAATGTGCAAGGATGAATGAAACCTGTAACAAACGCATGCATACCAACAGTTTTCATTTCGGTGAATCCTCAGGCTCAGTGTGTGTTTTCCCATGTTACCACCAGAGGGCAACACAAATCGACATCTCTGCCATAAGGAAAGTCCCAGCTGAGGAAACAGGCTGTCAGTGTGTTTCCACACCTCTGGTTTTTCAGAGGGTTTATTTTTTTAAGGAAAACATTAAATTTGGCAGTGAGATTAGTCTTTTATTGTTTTTTTTTTCATTCTAGGGGAGTTATACCTATCAGAGGAAAGGTAGCTTCAGTCTTGTCATTGTCAGAATAATGATCCAGTAAAATAATAAGCAGATATTCATATACAGTGGCTTGCAAAAGTATTCGGCCCCCTTGAACTTTCCCACATTTTGTCACATTACAGCCACAAACATGAATCAATTTTATTGGAATTCCACGTGAAAGACCAACACAAAGTGGTGAACACGTGAGAAGTGGAAACGAAATCATACATGATTCCAAACATTTTTTACAAATAAATAACTGAAAAGTTCAGATCAACACTCATCTGAAAGTTAGGTTTCAAAAGCAGTAATGATTTGGCAAACATTGCTAGATTCAATTCACTCAAGAATGCATTTGTGTACAAAAATTCTCACCGCTATCTGAAAAGGTTGGAAGTCACACACATGCATTATCATGTGTGTTATAGTGTATCATCATAATACAACTCAATTGGCACTTGGTGGTCAAAACAGAAGCTCTTGTGATCTTGTTTGTATAATTATGACTGGATTCCTTGTAAAGTTACATTCAGTGCCATGCTGCATTAATAAAAGTGTGATTTCACCGTGTTGAACTGCTCTTGTCTCTTAACAAAGGGTGCAAATATTTTCTAACTTCATGCATAATTTGATGTAAATGGCAATAATTCACCAGTGACCCCCTAGGTTCTTGCAAACTGGTAATTATTTTAACAGGATTAATCTATATGAAAGTATAAACTTAAATATAGCGTTACATCTTTAGTACTTAGAAACAACTTCCTTGATGCTCCCCGAAGAGAGGGAGCATGTAATCTGTTCTGTTTGTCTGTCTGGTCACACCATATGTGAAAATCAGTAAAAACTTTATATTACGCACAATTTTGATGGATCGTGTTCATGTTGCCCCTGAAAACAGGGGAAAGAATCACGAGAGTGATTTTGACTTGCTTCTCTCATGCAGTTGTTTATTGCAATGAAAATGAACATAAATATTTCACATCCTGTACTACTCAATGTCACAGAGTGGAAGCAAAAGCTAAATAATAAACCAAAATACTAAAGTGGTTACTAAACATATATCGGAACATGTTTCCTCACCAAATGGATAATAATAGCAACATTTCTAGCTCCTGCCGTTAGCTCAATGGCTGTTATACAATACAAAACTGAGGCTCAAAACCACCGTGACTATGTGCACAAAACAAACTGTAATATAATGCTTCTAAAGCTTACAAACAATGAAGAGTTACATCTTGATGCATGCTCAATCATCCAGGTAAGTAAATCTCCAAAAGTTGATTCTGTTCATCTGGGGATAAGGGAATCATCTCAGGTTTTTACAGCTTATAGAAAGATTTCAGCCAATTCAGCATGTTGTAATGAAGACATCAAACAACAGCAGTAAAGTTTTGCCATCCGTGGGGCGCTGCGCTCTCCGAGTCCTCCTGTTTGTTCAGTGTTTTTTGGAAAGAAATGTTAGCCAGGGCACCTGAAGTGCAGAAGCACTCAGAGAGCACAACTCCTGCTGAAGGGCGTGGCCTTGACCTAGACACAGTTTTTACAAAATTACATCAGCTTAAGCTGTCATTGCTGTCAACCATAATGACATGTCACACAAAATTTGAACATGAGATCTTGAAAACTGTGGATGCTAGGCTGAAAACAAACAGAAGAGAAACAAGTTTAACCAATCACAGACCCCCACCTTCAGGGGGTAGTTTACCAAACATAAAGAGTCCAGAAATGCATATCGCAAATAAGACTGATGTTCTGCTGCTGGTTAATGGTGTTGGCAATGGAGGATATATATGTTGCCCACCATGTCCACTCCTTTATGACCAGCGTGTCAACATGTTGTCCTTCCAGCAGGATAACACGACATGTCACAAAGTGAGTTCACGAGTTACTGAGTCTGTAATGCCCTCTGCAGTCACCGGCTCTCAGTCTAATAGAGAACCTTTTGAGATGTGGTGGGAAGGGAGACACGACAGTCAGCCTTGTTGATTTAGTCGCTCTGACAGCTCAGATCCTTTGTCAGGAGCTGAAAAGAAAAATCAAAAACCTTCAGTCTGGATTTCTCTTTATCTGTTTGTAAAATGTTCCGCAGCTCAATAAGTAAAAATGAAAACCTCTCAATTTTTCAGTTCAAGTGAGGCAGAGCAAGTGAGCTAGACTATAAATGAGAAAGAGAAACTGCATCAGCAAGAATTCATTTATAAAAAATAATTCTCTTTTTCACTCTAAGGCACAAACAGACATGGGTCATGCACGTGAAGGTTAACCTGGCACCATGTTTTGCTGCAAATCATAAAAAAGTCACAAGTTGTTTTTTTACATAGTGACAGATACACTGTAAAGATACACTGTAAAATCTAATTAGTTCCCTTAAAAAAATTGTGCAAAGTCGTTGCCTCAAAAAAGTTTACTTAAGAAAATCAACTTAGAGCAACTTATTCATTCAGAGTCTAGGTTTGGATATCTTTTTTTCCGTTAATGAATAAAACAATTTAAAAACTGCAATTTTCTTTTACTCAGCTTATCTTGGTCTAATATTAAATGCTTGATTAAAACCAGAGTGTTTGATGCATCACAGTATTAAACAGATCTATATGATAATAAAGGAATCTGAAGCAAATGTCTTGAAAAAGGATGGGAATAAATCCATTGGTAATATTATTAAAATCCTTGTTTTAAATCCAGAGTGCATGTCACAAAGTGAGACAAGGAAGGGGAACTTACAAGATGTTGGCCGTCTGTCTGAAATTTAAAAAACAAAAACAAGAAAAACAAAACAAAAGGCAAATGAGTTTTTAACATTTCGAAGTGCCTGAAAATCTCGTGTTTTCCTCACATAAATTCAGAAAGAACCATGTCTAATGTAAAAAGTACAACAGAAATAATCTAACTGAGCATTTCCCATCTGCTACTGGTTGACTGGTGAACTCAGTTTCTTTGAATCTCTCACCTTTCCTCTTTTTCCAAACAGCAAATCCAGCAGCAGCAATGAGATTGAGAACAACAAAAACAACGACTGCAGCGATGGTGTTGAACAGCATGTCAGAGGACGCCTCTGCTCAGTAAAGAAAAACAAATGAAAATAAACATATAGGATAAAATGTGCAGTTAAAGTAGTTTAAAACAAAAGTATATCGATCCATCCGCTCTAATGACATAGATAACAATATGACACTGGGTCCTGCAGGAAAAAAATGACAACGGGTAGTGAGAGCAGCGGAGAGGATTGTGGGGACCTCTCTTGCCTCCCTCCCCAGGAGATCTACTGCGCCTGCCTCATCCGGAAGGTCCTCTCCATTACAGGTGACTCCACTCATCCCTTCAACAGCTTCTTCAGTTTGCTGCCATCAGGAAGGATACTGAAGAGCCTCCGGGCCAGAACCCACAGACTGAGAGACAGCTTTGTCCATCAAGCTGTCAGGATGCTGACCAACTCTGCATCGAGAAGGGGGGCCCGAGGGTACATCTTTCGCCATCTTACAATGCTGTGATTGCAGCCATTCCCCAACTCTCTGTGAATGGTACTCATGGCCATTCGAGAATCTGTGTCTTTGATTAGTAGTCGTTGATCAATGGTCATAAGAATTTGCATACTAACAATCATGGAACTAACCCCCCAACCCATTGTTCATTCAGTGGTGCTAGTTTCCTTCGCTGTGCAAATGTACTGTTTATAAGGTTGGAGAAACCCGCAGTCAGCTGAGACTGAAGAAGTCACTTGGATGAGTGACAAAACGTTTCTCCCACTGAAAATGTCCAGATGAACAGAATCAACCTTTTGGAATTTACTTACCTGGATGATTGAGCACGCATCAGGACATTATTTTATTAATATCTTTGAAATGATAGCAGCACAAACGAAAATTTTTGCAGCACAAACCAGCACACACGTAGCACAAACGTTTGATACCACTTTTGTCGGATTTGAAGAAGGTGGGGGGGCCAACTTCACTCACATTTGCAACTGTTGTGATTTGATGCTAGAATCGAATTAAGTTAGAATATTATTATTAACAAAAGAGAGAAAATTATTATATTTTACAATCACTGAAAAAAATAGAAAGATTTTTTTCCTCTGTTAGGATCTCCATTAGTTATTCCTACAGTAACAGTTATTCTTCTTTGTGTCCAAAAAATAACAAGGCAAAACAATCAGAAACATTATAGACAATCAATCCACAATACGGGCAAAAAAAATGTTTCTCTCACCTTCATCAGTGTTAAATATTTTTTTGCCCCAGTTTGTTCTGATCACAGTTTTATTGAGTTTGGTGACAAGGATGTCCTCACCACCAGAGAGATGAAACACACAGTCGTACCTCCCCCAGTCTTCAGGTGTGACTGATGAAATATTCAGATCAACACTCATCTGAAAGGTCTCATCATTGTTTGGGAGGATCTCTCCAGGATCCACACCTTCATGGAGCTCCTCTCCATCTTTCCTCCAGAACATCAAGGGTCTGTTAGGATAGAAACCTGTAGCGTGGCAGCTGACTGGAGAGGAGGGAGTCTTCTGGAGGAGAGACACTGAGGGAAGAACTGGAAGAAGGAAAGGAATTCAACCAAAACCTAATATTCAAAACAGAGTCGTTAGAGCCAAACAATCATCATCTTAAGTCATGTCAAGTTTATTTGTGTAGCACTGTTCAGACAGAAGGTAATTCAGAGTTCTTTAGAGAGGGGAGGATAAATACAAGAGACATTTAAAACATCTAATGTATATGATCATATAACACATATAACTTTTCATCACCAGCTTCCAGCAGCTGCATAAGGCTACAATATGACATCTTTTAGACTAAAAATAACCCGAAACACTCTGAGATATAGTAATGAAATTGTGAACACAAGAATACTTAATACTTAATGAAAAATCATGAGTTTCAGTTCATGTCAATAATAGTCTTTCAACCACAAACATAATAAATATTATCTTAATCCATCCATCAATTTTAACATCACCTGAAGCCAAATTCACCACCAGGTGGAGCTAAAAGAGAAGCTGCAAAATGGCTCATTCACTGTTTGGAAACCACTGATGAACTACAGCATGACTGTATTAAGATCTTTCACTGAACAAGTTGACCTGCTGACTGTAAATTTTACTCACAAAAACATTAAATTACTGTATAAATGTTCTCAGTTAAAAGTAAAAAGGAGGTTATTAAATGGTACTGTTTAAACTTCCTGTTTCATTTTGACAATTGCTTTTCTTGAGACATTTCACTAATTTCCTCCTTATCTTGTTAGTCCTCTTGTCTGTTATTCAGAAATCAGTCGCAGTACATCATGCTGGAGGATGTCTCAATTCCTAAAATGCATATGAACAAGAAAGGAGGCTGGAAGAGGAGCTATAATCAAAATGGCCATGGTGAGAGATGGCCTCTTCTTTTGTTGTTTCAATTATTTAAGATGATCAGACTTTCTGCCCTTCACTGACTCTGTGTGTGATTGAAGGCATGATATCTTGTCACATTGCAGAGAAGCCCTAAATATGTATATAAGATGTTTTTGATCCAAAACCTAAAACTGCAGTTATCAGGAAAACTTCATATCAGTTTTCATACCTTCTAAATCATTCAATTTTAAATCTACTTAAACGTTTTTGCCATTTTCTCTTTCAATGATAACTATTTTTCAAAAGATAATACAAAGTAAAACAAACACTACTGCATCAGGTCATGTGATTCTACCTGTTCTCTGCAGAGAGCTGTTGCCACTCTCCACGTACATCTTCAGCCACTCTGGACAAATCTTAGTGAGGATTTTTTCACGGTCTTTCATTCTGGTTGTGTCAGCATCCCAACTCTGTTTGACAATGTCAGCCTCTGGTTTCAGTGCGATCCACGTCAGCGTCTTCAGATCCAATTTAAGAAAGTCTTCTCCATCATATCCGTACTGTAAAAGCCCCGTAACCTCTCCGGTGTTTTCATCCCATTCACAGCCTTCTATCATCTGTAAAATATGGACAGCTGAGGCGAGAGAGAAAACAGAGATTACAGCGAACATCTGAAACTCAGAGGCTATAAACTGTAAGAAGCACAATAAAGACATAATGCAAGACATAAAACAGAGACATGATCTATAATTTTTAAAGTTAAAACATAACATTGTTAATACAAGACTAAAATTGAGAACAATTATTTTTATGAATTATTTTATTCTTTTTAGGGCACACTAGTGAGGTTTGATGATTACAAAATGTATTATTATACCTAATAAATAACTAATTATGCTAACAATCTTTTACATTAATCAGTTTTGTTTATGCATATACATGATTTATGATGATTTGGCAAAACAAATAACAGAAAACACTGCACCTCTGCTTTGGTTTAACTGCTGCTTCAAACTAGAAATCCATAATCTGAATAGATTTGGCCGATCCACAAAACAATAATCAGTGAGCGACTCCAACATCTGAGGGTTGGTATCTAATATTTTCTTCGCCCAGTCCTGTCTTGCTTCCAGTATCTTGTTGCTGCTGTCACAGTAGTAAGCCATCTGAATGCCATCAATTACTGGGAAACCCACAAACTCAGAGATGTTTGGGTTTCCAGAGGAACCAGTGTCAAAACTAACCAATGAGTGTTTCACTGTGGGACAAAAATGTTTATAATGTTAGTAAACAAATAAATGAAATATATAAACATTAATCAGAAATATGATTAATTCGGTATGAATCAGACTCCACAGCAGGTGTGTGTGATCAATTATGACGCATGTACAATGATATATGTGCACTTTTGAGTACTTACAAATGTGTGTACCCAAACCTGAACAAATAATGAAAATTAATGTGCCCATTTATGTTTAGCTTCACAAATCTGATCATTGACACTTTCAAAAACTTCACTGTGCATAAAAAAGTCTATGAATATTTGTGGCATTCTTTTTGCTAACTTACAGAGCATTAAATGCCAGTGCACAGATCACCTGATTATATCACCTGATTTATTTGGGAGGGATAACAAATGTAAGCTGCGTTCAAGTGCTGGATTTCCCCCAGATTCCTGTGTTTTATATTTATTTAGAAAATAAAAGATTCATTCTATTTATCTTGATGCATGCTCAAAAACCCAGGTCAGAAAATCCCAGAGTTGATTCTGTTCATCTGGACGTAGCATTCTCAGAGAAAAACTCATCCAAGTGACTTCTGCTGACTGCAGGTTTTCCCAACCTTAAAAGCAACATAACCTTCGATCCTGACCTTTTACCATTCACAGAGTTTGGGAATGTCTGCAATCATTTATGTGTGATCATGACAGTCTGAAAAATATAATTGTGGCTTATTGTCAGGAAACAGTGCGAGTTTCGGTTGTTATGCAACTTTACTATTTATAAAATTGGGGGAATCTGGAGTCAGCTGAGACTGAAGAAGTCACTCGGATGAGTGATGAAATATTTCTCCGACTGAAAACGCTATGTCCAGATGAACAGAATCAGCTGTTTTATTTGAAAAAACAAACAAACATAAAAAATACAGATAAGGCCAAATATTCCAGATGTCCACCACATTATCACACACATTTGTAAAACATTGTATGTGTTCAGATTCCTTTGTATGTGGACTGGAGCACACATTTATGAGCACTGAAAACTGCACCGAAATATTAATACTCATTTGTAAATCTTAGTTAACACTTGTGTATGACATCATATACATTTGTAACCCTGCTGAGACTAATTTAACACTTTACAAATAGGACAGTTTAAGGAGGAAATACTTCACAAAATGTCATTTCTCATTATACAACTTCGACCACTGCAAATTAACAATACATTACACATACTATACAAAGAGCGTGTGTTACATTTCTTCAGAGCCCAACTGGTAAGCATAAGGAGAAGTAAACAAAATGACAACTCATAAAAGTTAGCCATATTCAAGCTGTAATAATAAAGTAAACTACTTTTAATATTTAACGTATGATCTTACCTGGACATACCACATTAGAGCAGAGGAGTAATAGATACACAGGTTTCATGTTGCTGTGTTTATCGTGAGAGTCTGTTTTTTCTGCCTTCAAACTGGGTAAAGCCAGCCCCCACAGGAAACTACCTGATTTCAAAATAAAAGCTACTTTCTGAGGGTTGTGATTTTGGCATTAAACGTCTGTAATAAGTAGGTCTGTAATAAATTAAGTTAGTCTATAATAAATTATAACTTAATAAATAAATACATAACAAAATACAGTGCCTTAAAAATGAATACATTTAAAATTACAAATAAAATAATATTAAAATAGCACATCTACCATCTCCAAACTAGTAACCACGTTTAAGAATAAGACTTGCACGGCCATTACAAGGAAATTATCAGAGCAGTCCATTCAGTTATACTGAAACTGGATCTAAGCAAAACCTGGACCAGATGAGCTGATGATAAACGCCTTCAACGAATGTCTCTTCAAACATATTAAGTAAAAGTAAAAGTAAAAATCTAAAAACAGAAACAGGGTTTTAATTACAAGGGAATTTGTAATTTAAAGAGACACAGTTTACAAAATACACTTGAATATGAAGTGTAAAAATAAACATCTATGCACTTTTCATAATGTTCCTATGAGATCATATATGACTGTGTTACTGTTAAAACTGAATTTTCATGTTTTAACTGTTTAGAGTGGAATTAAATGGAAATAACCTGTAACCTTCTGGATTGTTAAACTTCTGAGTGTTTTCGGATATATGCTTATGGTTCACTAAAATGAAGCTAACTGTTATTTTCATGTGGGATCTTTATAAACCTTTCCTAGATTATGTTATGTCACTGTGACAGTAATGTGAACTCAAGAGAGCCCAGGCAAAACTGGTTAAGAGAATTAAAGCCAGATGAGTGACAACACTGTATACATTAATAGACATTTTTTCCTACCTAATAAAGTGGCCACTCACTGGCCACTTTATTAGGTACACCTTGCTACTAGCGGGCTGCATCTCTTTTTTCCTTCAGGACTGCCTTAATTCTTTGTAGTTTAGATTTAAGAAGATGCTGGAAATATTCCTGGAGTTTTTCACCATATTGACATGTGACAGCATCACACAGGTCCTGCAGTCACATTGATATGCATGATGCATGCGCATTGATATTCATGATGCAAATCTCCCATCCCAACTTGATGGATGCTATTTGAATACAGTGAACTGACTGTCATGTTCAAAATACCAGTTTGAGATGATTTCAGATTTAGTATCACCTTCTCCTGCTAGAAACATCCACACCAACAAGGTATCTTCACACAGAGAACTGTTGCTCACACTGTAGCTTCACCTTTTTTTGCAACATTTTCTGTAAACTGTAGAACTGGCTTTGTGGGAGCCGTTTGATGTATCTTTCTTCCCAGTAGGCTGTTTTATCAGACTTTTTGTCAAAGTAAACCATAAATTTGACAAAATTAATGTAACTTTACAAAGTTACAGACTCAGTTATATTTAGTCTGTTCATGCCAGCTTCTACATGTGTTATTAGATAATAACCTAAACTTTAACTCACAGTGACATGGTGTCATGCCCCCATTTGTCCTTGGACAGAACTCCGTGGACTAAACGCTGCATCGTCTCTGAAGATCTGCATGCTCAGCTGCTAGCCTGCCTGTTTCCTCCGTGCTCATTGCTACATATTTTCCTATGATTTCTATGGTTAATAAACTTGTGAAATTATCTTGCAGTGTCCAGTGTTTGGGTCTTATTCTCTGCTGCCTGTGATGAATATTTAAAGGCACTGAAGGAAAAAAAGCAACAAAAAAAAAGATGTGTAGATGAAGCAGTTTAGAACAAAATGACGTAATTGTTTATTGGTGGACTTTTCAGTCACTTATACACTGCACGGTTTTCCTCAAGTTTTTGCTTTTTTCCACTGACTTGATGGCGGTGTTGCGCTCTACACCACACCTTCTTAAATATGTCCTCTCTATCTCTCCTTTAGAACATCATAGCTTTATTAGAATCAAACCTGCAACGTGGTATCTGATTTAACCACGAGGGGGAGCCAAAGCGTCATTCATCACTAATTTTCTTTCTTAAAGTCAAATAGGTTTACTTTAATATGAATAAACAAATAATATCAGAAATTGCAGTCACACTGAAAAAAGACCACATTTTGGATTTACTTAATTCAATATTAGACATTGGTTGCACACAGATGTTTTTCTTTGGCAGTAACTTAAACAATTGAGTTAAATCAATGCAAGTTATTCAAACATGAGTCAATTTTGTCAGTTACACCCAAGATAATTACATAAATTCAAGAGATGGCCAGTAGAAGACATGAAATTAGGCTATAGTAGTAAAGTAAATTAATGTGAGATTCAGGATCCATCTGATCTGCTGAGCTGTCGTCATAAAGAGCCAGTGTAAATATAATCATCTAATTATAATCCTAATCTATAATCATAAACAGGCTTTTATTTGTTTGATTAGGCATTAATAAAACTGAATAAAGGTGTCATCTGAGGGAAAATACACAAAAGGGACCAAAACGCAAATGTAGTTTTGGACCACATGAGTTCAGTTTTTCCCCCAAAATTTTCTCAACAGTATCTCTTTTTTCTATCAGTCACTTAGTGTCCATAACCCACCCCTTTTGGGAATCGTGAATGTTTCAGTGATTAATACTGTTTGGTTTTACCTAAATGTAATTGTCTTTGTCACAAACAACAACAAAAAAGTTTCTTTTAACTTTTAGAATTTTAAAATTATTATTTTATATTTTCCCCTGTGTAGTCCAGTTAGTTTTGCCTTAGTTTCCTCCTGCCTTTGTTTTGTATCGCTCTCCAGCCTATATAAACAGCTCACTCTTGGTTTAAGTCAAGTTTTGGTTTCCACACATCTGCTTTTAGGTCCAATCATCAACCTCCACATAGCTCACCTTTTGTACAGATATATGCCACAGTTCCAGCAGTAGTTAAGGTAAGGAAACCAATCACAGCAGCAATGATGCAGATAATCAAAATAGCTGGTTTCTCAGCCAAACAAAGAAAAACAATTATTAAGAACAGGGACTATTTCCAGATATCCAAGCTGACTTTAGGTGAAAGGTGAAGTACACCCCAGACAGGTACACTATATTGTCAAAGGCTCAGTGAATTCCGCATGGTATTGTGATAGGATACCACCTGTGCAACAAGTCTAGTTATGAAATTTCCTCATTACTTCATTTTCAACAGTCAGCTGTTAGAGGTATTATAACGATATGGAAGTAATTGGGTATGACACCAACTCAACCATGGTCATAGAGCAAGGTCAGCAAAAGCTGAGATGCCTAGTGTACAGAGTGCAGACTGTCTGCAGAGCCAATTGCTACACACTTCCAAACTTTATGTGGCCTTCAGATCTGCTCGAGAACAGTGCTGTCAGGGACTAAGCAGTAAAGCATAGAGGACACAGTGGTTTAATTCAAAAGTGGGGTTTTATTTACCCCAAAACATGAAAAACATTTAACAAATCCAGAAACTTAAACAGACAGACTAATAAAAGAGGTAAAAGCGATAAACTTAACTCAAAATAACCACTAGTAAAACCTCAAACAAACATAAGACAAGATGAACTGACACATAAGGGAACCTATATACTGGCTTAGCTAAACCATAGGACACACAAGGGGAAGACAAAATGGCTGCCATATAATCAACTAACACAAAACAATTCAACAAACACCCCCCAGGCAACAAGGTTGTGGTTCAATCCAATGAGGCCGTCAGCAGTACTTCAGGTCTCTCAGCCCTGAGCCACACCTGTTGCCAACCAGGAAGGAGAAGCCAAACCATCAGTTCAAGAAAAGTTTATTAATACAACATAAATCTGAATTTTGACTTTGCAGTGTTGATATGAGTGCAAACATTGTGTGATGGAAAAAATAAACTAATCTAATAATGAAACAATATCTTGGGCAATGAGTACAATATATATAAAGTAGTGGCTGCAAAATAAACTAAAGTGAAGCAAACTTGGGGTGAGGTTTGGATCTTACCTGAGAGCCTGAGAATTAAGAATTGGATATCACTTCACTTAAGTTCATATGAGTGTGAAAGCACAACGGGAACACTTTTCGCAATATCGTTTAGGTCCATCACAGAGAAACAATCACATTCACACCTACAGCCTATTTAGAACTGACAAAATTCTACAAAAAAATAAAATAAAATAAAAAATCAAGAGGTCCTCAGTTTGACTCTTAGATTTTGCTGCATGTTAGTTTCCTGTTTTTTCCTGCCAGTCTCAGTCCATCTGTACTGAAACTATCCAATGAAGGCTAATTGTCACACATTTTCTTTTCAAATCTTTTGATTTATTGGTTTATTATTATTAACTTTCTGAAACAATATATTAACTGGATTGTGGGATAGAAGATAAAATCTTCAAGAAATCACATAAAATCTTTTTTCACTTTCAGAATTTACATTTGTTCTGATTGCTGCCTTCTCCAATTTGGTGATGATTGATGATCCTTTACATCAAAAAGCTGAAACACACAGTCATATCTCCACCACTCTTGGGACATGACTGATGAAATCTTGAGGAGAACACTCAACTGATAGGTTCCATCAAGATTAGGGAGGATCTCTTTGTGCTCGTATCTGTACCTGAGCTGTGGTAACGCACAATTTTCCCTGCCGTAGGATCAATGAAGTCTTATCTTATATTTCTCACCTGTAAGTGAGCAGCATTTTAGGAGATAAGTTATTTAACTACACTTCACAGAGATCTTTTTTTGGTAAATATATTGTGGCAAACTTAAGCAAAGTAGGAGAAAGAGATCTCTATTTTAACCTGCAGCTCCTGTGTTTCATAGACCGCTCAACTACAGGAATGCTGCTTTTATTAGGAGCACCACATAACAGTGGAGAGAGGTGATTAGCGGGTACAGCAGTCTCAGTCATGGTGTCCTTGCTGGCCACAATCAATACAGAACACACAGCTGCAATAATGTTATACGTTAACAATATCAACACAAGATAACTGCAGTAGCTGTTATAATGCTGTAACTCAATACGTGAATGTCAGGTAAACAGTCCCATGAGTCTTTGGGCTAGTAGCTTCTCCCCTTAGCCCACAACGATATATATCTGCATCTGACTTATCACTAACCTGTTTGCATTTAGTCAGTGATTTTTGAAAGTCTCTCTTTCTTGTGGTTTACTGTGTAAAGCAGGTTGCAGACTGCGCATTTGTCATATGGGAATCCCTTTTTAAGCCGATTAATTTTTTAATTTGAAACACAAGTTGACTATTTATTTTGCCTAGATAATATATTGCCTAATGATACTCAGAACTAAACACACATTTTTGAAAACTTTCATTTATACTTCTAAAATTTTCATAAATGCAACAAATCCGTGACTAAAAACCATCATGGCTCCATTAAAGACACTCATGTGATGGATTCCCTCAAAACTGTAGCCCTCCTTGGGACACTCCCTAAGACTACATCTGCTTCTCAGCCTGCTGATCCTGAGACTATAGTTCCTCCCTGGGTGAGGTTGGCTAGGGCCCTGCTAGTCCCTGTTCCCAGAGCAGTATGGTTCCAGCCATTCCCGGCAACTGTCCTTGTTCCCCTGGAGAGAGAGGCAAGGCTTCACCTTCGGCTTCCTTCACCAGACACAGCTGTAAGCCCTGCACAGTCCCAGCTGTCAGAGGAGTCATGTGAAGGCCCATTTTTACTTTTATTGTAAGTAGAGCTCGAAAACTAAGTAACTAATCAGTGTTTCCCCTGCACCTTCATACACCAGGGCCACGTCCTGCTAAACTTGTTATTCCTGTATCATCATCTTGGAGAGCATGCAGAGGAAGAGGGCCCACGTGACCTTGCTAAGCTTCACTGAATTGGTGCGTTTAGGATAATTGGAGCTAAAAAATAAACTTGTCATTCATCTGTATGCTAATCGTTATCTTTATTTATTCACATAAACCAAGGATACTGGTGTGGCAGACCCCTTGTTCCTGTGCTGCCATGGTTAGTGCCTTTTTGCTTTTCTTTGTTTTAATAAACTCCTGGGTTGCTTTGTCTGTATGTTTTGGGTCATTGTTCATCGGTATTATGAAATGCCACCCAATCAATTGGATTGCATTTAGCTTGCAAAAACCCTAGTTTCCCAGTGCCACTGGCAGCCATGCACTCCCAACCTTGCGCCGTGTTTTACAGATGATGTGGTATGCTTCGGATCATGAGCTGTTTCACACCTTTTCCATGTTTTTTTCTTGCCATCATACTGGTAAAGCTTGATCTTGGTTTTATCTATCCACAGAATGTTTTCCCAGAACTTTGATGGCTTTTTTAGATATTTTCTATTATTGTTCTAGGATTAATGTAATAAGTAGATGGTCAATTAGGCATTGTCTTGGGAAAGGAAAAAGTAGTTCCTCTCATTAATGTAAGGGGGTGCCAGAAGTTTGCCTTTCTAAATGAGGTTTGGCTCCCCTTGGTGGTTAAAGATTTATTTGTTAAACTGTGCATTTAAATAAATGTGTTTCAACTCTAGATGTCGCCAGATGTTAAACACAGCGACAAAGATCATTAATTCACAAGTTTAAAGTGATTATAACACAAAGATGAATTTATTCCAGTTTTTCCAGAAACTTGTAAAAGTAAGATAGTAAAATGTGTAGATTCCATAAAAACGCCACCTCAAAATAATATGTATAAATAGGAATACAGTAGGTTCTGGTTATTTGACAACATGTGTACAGATAAAATTTTCATGAAAAACCTAACTGATGCGGCACATCATAACATAACATAATATAACATAACATTTCCTGCTTGTATATTTAAGCCCCGTGTTTCCTTCTGTCCGTTGTCGCAGCGTCCCATGTTCAGTGAGTTTCTCTGTGGTTCTGGTTTTCCATTGTTCCTAGTTCTGTGCTCCTTGTTTCCAAGTGTTTCTGTTTCTAGTTTCCCAGTGTTTAGTTTCCATGTTCAGGGTTTTGGTTTGTTGTTTTGTGAGTTTATTTTTTTTAAGTGTGAGTTTATTTTTATTATTTTGAGTTTATTACTTCTGTCTATGAGTCCTGCATTTGGGTCCTCATCCTGCCACAGCTTAAGATGACAGAGGTTGCGTTGTTCTGCCTACTCCAGCAGTGATACTTGCTCTTTCATAAGTGCACTTATTCTTTGTTGTAGTACTTTACTGTTCCAATGAAACAAGAAGATCTCATTTTAAAGTACGTGTTTTGCCTGTGATCAGTGATCTTATCTAGCACATTCTCTTAATATCTTAGAGCTATCTCCAGAGTTAAAAATGTTCATGTCAGATTCTGTAATTCATTTACTTCTTCCCCCTTAAACTAGATGTTGTTGTTGTCAGGATTAATATTTCTCATGCTATCAGTTAGTATTTCTAAAATGCTTGCGCTGTGAGGTCCCTGAGTACATGTGATTATCTAATTAACCAGTGGACAGCTACATATATAATATACTACAACTTATATAATTATATAATATTTCCTATGTGGCAGAATTGCTTTGACCCGTTTTTGTTTTTTTTTGTTTGTTTTTTTTATTTAAGAATAGGTAGAAAGTCCTCTCTTCCTTGCTGGCTCCATGAATCTCATGAGCTCTAGAAAGATTAAATGTCAAACACATCCAAAGTTTGAGGGCTGCAAGCAAAGTGGGCAGCAAAGTCAACTGAGCCCAGAAACAGCTGGAAACCTGTGTGGTTATTACAATAAACACAGCACTCATGTTAACAGAGGAAGAATTTAGCTGAAGCACAGTGATTTTTACAGTCACAGCCTGCTTTTTTAAACAGCAATATTTCTCCATATTTTTTTCCCTTGTTTGCATGAGGATTTCTCCAAAACATCTGTTGTCACAATTATTGCAAATCTGTTACAATAAGTAGCTTTGAAATTGTACAGGCCTCGTCTGCATCTGTTTCACAGAATAGTATTAATAATAATAATAATGGATACTTTATTGATCCCCATGGGGAAATTACTTGTTTTTCTCTGCATTTGACCCATTCACTCAGTGAAGCAGTGGGCAGCCCACTAAGCAGGCGCCCGGGGAGCAGTGTGTAGGGACGGTACCTTGCTCAGGGGTACCTCAGGGTAGCCGTTAAGTGGATTCGAACCGCCGACCTTCCGATCATGGGGCGACCACTTTACCTACTGAGCTATCCCTGCCCTCTATGACCATTGCCCGCCCATAGGGGCTAAGGCTCAGCAAGCCGAAACTCAGGACCAGCCATGCACTCACACATACCCACCCACCTATTAATGGCACACAGAAACACATAAAGAA